TTTCCTCATTCTTGTGTTCTTGAAGATATCCTCATATTGCACCCAAAATTTGAAAGTGCAGACTACTAAACATATGGCCCTGGATGACTGACCATCATGCGAGCGGGGGACTTCTAGTATCACTGCTACCTTATTCACTCCTGTGTTCATAATATCCTCATAATGCACCCAGAGTCTGCCAGTGTAGACTACTGATCACGTGCCTCTGTGTGACTAACCATCCTGTGTGATGGGATTTTAGCATCACGTAGCTAGCTTTTGTGATACGCTGTATTTCCTTCATATAGTCTAAGGGTAGCTGCACAAATGCAGATGTACCTAAATGTGTTAATAAAAATAAATTAAAAGTGCAGTACGTTTAGAGTGCCCTATGAGGTCGTGCAGTATGTTTAGAGTGCCCTATGAGGCCGTGCAGTACGTTTAGAGTGCCCTATGAGGCCGTGCAGTATGTTTAGCGTGCCCTATGAGGCCGTGCAGTACGTTTAGAGTGCCCAATGAGGCCGTGCAGTACGTTTAGAGTGCCCTATGAGGCCGTGCAGTACGTTTAGAGTGCCCTATGAGGCCGTGCAGTATGTTTGGCGTGCCCTATGAGGCCGTGCAGTACGTTTAGAGTGCCCTATGAGGCCGTGCAGTATGTTTAGAGTGCCCTATGAGGCCGTGCAGTACGTTTAGAGTGCCTTATGAGGCCGTGCAGTATGTTTAGCGTGCCCTATGAGGCCGTGCAGTATGTTTAGAGTGCCCTATGAGGCCGTGCAGTACGTTTAGAGTGCCCTATGAGGCCGTGCAGTATGTTTAGAGTGCCCTATGAGGCCGTGCAGTACGTTTAGAGTGCCTTATGAGGCCGTGCAGTATGTTTAGAGTGCCCTATGAGGCCGTGCAGTATGTTTAGAGTGCCCTATGAGGCCGAGCAGTACGTTTAGAGTGCCCTATGAGGTCGTGCAGTATGTTTAGAGTGCCCTATGAGGCCGTGCAGTATGTTTAGAGTGCCCTATGAGGCCGTGCAGTATGTTTAGAGTGCCCTATGAGGCCGTGCAGTATTTTCAGAGTGCCCTATGAGGCCGTGCAGTATGTTCAGAGTGCCCTATGAGGCCGTGCAGTATGTTCAGAGTGCCCTATGAGGCCGTGCAGTATGTTCAGAGTGTCCTATGAGGCCGTGCAGTACCTAAGAGTGGCCTATAAGGCCGTGCAGTACGTTTAGAGTCCCTTATGAGGCGTGCAGTACGTTTAGAGTGGTCTATGAGGCCATGCAGTACGTTTAGAGTGGTCTATAAGGCCGTGCAGTACTTGTGTGTGTTTACTGTGTGCATATTTATTTACGGATTTGTGGAATTTAATACTGTTTGGGAATACTTTTTGGGTTATGATTTTTACTGTGTTATGATGTTAGTGAATGACTGCAGGAGTGTTTTCTCGTTATTTTTGTGGTGTTTTGTTGATGCTTCCGTTATGTTTGTAGTTTTCATTGGTGTACACACACACACACACACACACACACACACACACACACACACACACACACACACACACACACACACACACACACACAATATTCATAGATATCACAAACAAACATGGCCACTATTGTGGATGTGTATGAGGCATGTTCCCTCTGAAGCACGACACTGAGGCTTGTCGCTATGAAAGACCATGAAACATGAAACTTGTCGCTCTTTGTTCATATGTGATGCTGAGTTTATATATAAATATATATTATAATATATATATATATATATATATATATATATATGATTATGTTATATATATATATATATATATATATATATATATATATATATATATATATATATATATATATATATATATATATATATATATACATATATATATATATATATTTATGTGTGTGTGTGTATACAAACACTATATTTTAACTAGGGCAAGGAAAACAACTAAACTGATTTATAAGATCATACACCAAAAGTTCTTTTATTTGTCAGCAAGTACAAAAATCTCTATTGTATTTACAATAAGCTAACAAAATAATATATAACAGCTACATATTCTCTTTTGTACATGTCATTCAAAGTTTCCTCCTACGGTCCGGTCCTTTCAGACTCTCCTGATGGACAAGGGTTTATTAAAGTCTGTCTGGGACGTTGTAATGCGTATTTGTTTCAGAAGTGTTGGATATAGCGATAACATGATATATATGGATAATGGATAACGGGTCTACTGCAATGTCAATTTACTCGAATAGATGGCAACTTTTAATATTATACGCTAGAGCCAATAGGAAGCGCGAAATTACAGCTAGCAAAGCTTGATTGGTCAGACGTAATGTGAATTATGTCTGTTATTGGCTGATAATTGTCAACAGAAGCAATGATTGGTCGATCATATATGAATGAAAGATGATTTTCTAATGGAATATGAGAAAGAGAAAAAAAATTGTTTTTATTTCTGATTGCATCACCATTTAGGAGCAATTTAAAAATAAAATATGAAAAAAATCATCTGTTTAAAATACAAAATATTACAAAATATTAAATACACACAGACACAGTCGGCTGTTACAATATAAACAAAATATACATTAAACTGTATCTGCCGGATACAGAATGGTTACACACACACACACACACATTGCCTCAGATTCATTCTTCTTATTTTATCATGTAGTTATTTCAGATCTATGAGTTACAGGAGGACAGACCACTCGCAAAGTAAAAAGGAAATTCATGTCTTCTCCTTCCCACTAAGAATTTGAAATAACTATTAAACAAGTATGTGGTTGTACCGAATTGGCTTCTCAATACGGTTGTATAATTATATACAAAATACAGTTTTGTTTATCTTAATATACATAAATTACATTGGAAGTAACAGGTTATCATAAAATATATAATGAAGTAGGAAAACTCTAATCAGCCAGCCAATGACCTTTACTCATCTAGAATTACTACCCTAAGTTTACTCATCTAGATTTACTCAAATAGATTTACTCATCTAGATTTAGCCACCTACAGGTAAATGTATAACATGTTGATTTAACTGATTCAGTCAAATTGAATAATAATATATTAAAATTTGAGTCATATTCTTTGTCAATGGGAAGCATATACATAATCCAAATTTTATAATTAGAAAACAAAAACTAATGTTTGCAAGGTTGCACGTTCTGATGGCATTAAAAATGATTTTTTTAAACAGGTTCTTTCTCATCAATATGTTCCTTTCCAAAAAATAAATATGTGTAATTTTTGTTCCTGAATTTAGTTTTCAATAATATAAAACATTATAATAAGCAAAACTATACTAGATAAATATACACACCACACACACACACACACACACACACACACACACACACACACACGTACACACACACACACACACACACACACACACACACACACACACACACACACACACACACACACACACACACACACACACACACACACACACACACACACACACACACTCTTAGTACTAGGCTAGTCCCAGAACTAAGAGGCATGAGTTACGAGGAAAGGCTGCGAGAAATTCACCTCACGACACTGGAAGACAGAAGAGTAAGGGGAGACAGGATCACTACTACAAAACTCTCAAGGGAATTGACAGGGCAGATAAGAATAAACTGTTTAACACGGGTGGTACGCGAACAAGGGGACACAGGTGGAAACTGAGTACCCAAATGAGCCACAGAGACATTAGAAAGAACTTTTTTCAGTGTCAGAGTAGTTAACAGGTGGAATTCATTAGGCAGTGATGTGGTGGAGGCTGACTCAATACACAGTTTCATATGTAGATATAATAGAGCCCAGTAGGCTCAGGAACCTGTACACCAGTTGATTGACTGTTGAGAGGCGGGACCGAAGAGCCAGAGCTCAACCCCCGCAAGCACAAATAAGTGAGTACATACACTCACACAAGTGACGAAAATGAAGGATTAAATGTTGGAACTGAGAAAATGGAAGAACAGATACGCAAAGAATGACAAGGAGGTGTGTGAAGAACACATCAAGATATTCCAGGAGGTCTTCACAGTAGAAGAAAGAGAAGCCTCTGTACTAAATGAGGAGGCAAACCAAGTAACTTTGGAGGAATGGATGAAGATAGACAGAGACTACAGGATGACCTGGAGAAACTGGAGGAATGGTCTAGAAAATGGCAACTAAAGTTCAATTCAGGAAAGTGTAAAGTAATGATATTAGGCGAAGGGAGCATAAGGTTGAACACAAGGTACCATCTGAGAGATGAAATCCTTCAAGAGTCAAATAGAGAGAAAGATCTGGGGGTTGATATCACACCGAACCTGTCCTCAGAGGCCCACATCAAAAGAATATCCTCAGCGGAATATGCTAGATTGGCCCACATAGGAACTGCCTTCAGAAACTTGTGTAAGGAATTGTTCATGACCTTGTATATCACTTATGTAAGACCAATCCTGGAATATGCAGCTCCAGCCTGGAGTCCTTAACTAGTTAAAGACAAGACAAAGTTAGAGAAGATTCAGAGGTATGCCACCTGACTAGTCCCGGAACTGAGAGGTATGAGTTGCGAGAAAAGGCTAAGGGAGCTGAACCTCACATCCCTAGAAAACAGAGGAGTAAGGGGAGAAATGAAAAAAACTACTAAATTCGCAGGGAAATTGACAGGGTGGACAAAGACAAACTCTTTAGCACGGGTGAAACAAGAACAAAAGGACACAGGTGGAAACTTAGTACCCAGATGAGCCACAGAGACATTAGAAAGATTTTTTCAGTCAGAATAGTTAACAGATTGAATGTATTAAGCAATGATGTGGTGGAAGCACCATACACAGCTTCATATGTAAATATAATAGAGCCCAATAGGCTCAAGAATCTGTACAACAGTTGATAGACAGTTGAGAGGAAGGGGTCCAAAAAGCCAAAGCTCAACCCCCGCCAGCACAACTAGGTGAGTACAACTAGGTGAAAACACACACACACACACACACACACACACACACACACACACACACACACACACACACACACACACACACACTCACACACACACACACACACACACCCGCACAACCAGTTGATTGACAGTTGAGAGGCGGGACCAAAGAGCCAAAGCTCAACCCCCGCAAGCACAACAAGGGCAGTACAAGGAGAATTACACAAAAGTTCACAGGAAGTATAGAGTGCTCTTCGATATTCCTATTGTAAATGTTAACAAATCCACAAGGGCCGTGATGAGGGTTCTAACCTACGTCCGAGAGGATCCCAGACGCGCCTTAATCAACCGTGCCATTGTAAATGTAAATGTAATACAATTACATTTACAAATGGCACAGTAAGACATTTGCAAAACGTTCTATTGTAAATGTATTTTTTCTCAGAGTTTCTTGTGGTTCACAGAGCTCCTCGTCCTTAGCAGGTCGTCTTGTTTGATCCATCAACTTGTTTGGTTATCTTCAGAATTCTTGAGACAATCTTAAGTGTGAGCAGAGAGTGCTGGGAGACCCTGGGAGACCCTAGGAGATCTTGGGAGACCCTGTGAGACCCTGGTGGACTTCATAACACTGAAGAGTTGCTTGCCAGCTGCGTGGGGTTGTGCTTGCTCAGGACCTGAGAGACGTAGTGCACATACGAAGCCAGTCACAGAAATATTAAATTAATCGGTAGATAGACGAATAGATAGATGAACATTTAAGTCGATCGACAGACGGTAAGTAAAAATATAGAATGGAAAAAGAGAGAGAGAGAGAGAGAGAGAGAGAGAGAGAGAGAGAGAGAGAGAGAGAGAGAGAGAGAGAGAGAGAGAGAGAGAGAGAGAGAGAGAGAGAGAGAGAGAGACAAAGAGAGAAAGATGATAATTTTGACGTTTAAGGTAGAGTTGTTGTTCTTCATTAGGAAGCATTAACTATGCTACCTCGCAGATGAAAAAGGTCTCGAAAGAACAGGGGCTGTCGTTCCACTTCAGTCCCTTCCCGTCTCTGTTCCACAATTCTAGACAGTGTTCCATCTCACCATTCTCATATCTGAGGGGGAAAACAGAGAAAGTAGGTAATTAGTTTCAGCATAGTCGTAGGCATATATATACACGTGCTTGGGCAGTAGGTCTCCTTACACGTCCTGAGTAATGTATTCCCACTTACATATGTCAGTAGCAAGCCTATTTACATATTCTGGGCAGTTGGGCTATTTTAAAACGCTGGCCAATATAATAATATTATGTTATAATATTATTATCGGTTATGGAAAGGCATTTCCTTACATGACATAAAATATAACAAGAGACAGGGAAGAAGATACACATGCAGACGAGGAGTCACAATAACGTGGCTGAAATATGTTGACCAAACCACGGATAGACACACAATAGATACACATGGTCTGTAGGATTCGATCACCCAGAATGAAAAAGATATTGAGAACTAAAAGTATAAAACTCCTTTTAGAACTAGAACAAAAATTAGAACTTCATACTTTTTTGTATGAAGATCAGACTACAGAATAGGGAATACAATGAGAGTAAGATAGTACCTGGCGAAGGGTGGAAGGCAAAGACTGTCAGAAGGCAGAATGCACTGGGTGGAAATAGCTTCTTCACAGTTAGAAGGGCAAATAATTAGGGCATGTTAGAAGTAATTGGACCTGACTCAGTACACAGTCCTCGAATCCGAATGTGTACTCTAGATAGCAAACTCGCAACACTAAATCCCACACACACACACACACACTAACATGAATGTGCATGTAAGTCACACACATGCTAGTCAATAAGAGAACATTAACATTCGCATTTAGATATATAAATAAGCACTTGGCGCTCAAGCGCTTTTTGAGCACTTGAAGGCCAAGCTGGAGCCCTGGCGTAGTCAAACACAGAAAGAAGTTGAATATATTTATTCTAATCCTGATCCCTTCCAAGTGCTATATAGTCGTAATGGTTTGGTCTTTAACCCTGGTAATTGTCTCCCTTCCCTCGCCACTTGCTTGGTCCCAGAACTGATTGTTATGATTTATGAAAGTATATTAACAACATGGGAGACATGATTACAGCATACAAAATCCTCATGTGCTAACAGTAGCTAATAATTGGCATGAATGAATACCAAAACATGCTGATACCGATAAAAACATAATTCACAGTTGAGTAGAATGAATATTCTTGTGAGGCAGAATCAAATAGAACATTTGGAGTTTAAGGCTCATTCTTTGTGATGATATAAAAAATTGGTTTAGTGAGAATTATATATACATATATATATATATGTCGTACCTAGTAGCCAGAACGCACTTCTCCGCCTACTTTGCAAGGCCCAATTTGCCTAATAAGCCAAGTTTTCCTGAATTAATATATTTTCTCTTATTTTTTTCTTATGAAATGATAAAGCTACCCATTTCATTATGTATGGGGTAATTTTTTTTTTATTGGAGTTAAAATTAAGGTAGATATATGACCGAACCTAACCAACCCTACCTAACCTAACCTAACCTATCTTTATAGGTTAGGTTAGGTTAGGTAGCCGAAAAAGTTAGGTTAGGTTAGGTTAGGTAGGTTAGGTAGTCGAAAAACAAATAATTCATGAAAACTTGGCCTATTAGGCAAATCGGGCCTTGCATAGTAGGCTGAGAAGTGCGTTCTGGCTACTAGGTACGACATATATATATATATATATATATATATATATATATATATATATATATATATATATATTCCCTTGTAAATTGATGTAATATGATCTTTATGTTGTATATTATTTAATAAAGAAAACAAAAAGTAGTAGAGGAAATTAAGATGAACGAATTATAGAGTGATTTAGTATGAAATCAACAACAGGAACTACATAACTCAGAGGGTTGACCAACAACTACAACAGACGACTGAAAGTTGAGAACCGAGTTCCAGGAGCGGAATTTCATCCTCCGCAGAAACAGATAGTAAAGACACATAAAGAAACACACACACACACATTACCCTCTTTACTAATGACACTTAGTTTAAAGGCTCTCACACTGCCTTTAACCTAAGCTTCTTCAACACGGTAGAAAAAACAATCCTGAAAAATTTTGGGAGAGAACTTAGAGCATCCAGGGAGCACCTACTGGAAGTTATTGGGTTCTCCGGCATTCCAGTTGGTGTAGGTGATGGGCTGACCGTTCGACATCCAGAAGAACCGGCCTTCCTCGCCCTGGTCCGTCCCAGACGTCCAGAAATGCTCGTGGCCAAGACCTGAACCAGACACACATTTATGTTAAAACCAGGAATCGTCGTTATTCTCCTCGGATACTTTTTTTTTGTCCGGTTTTTAAATTTAATTTTATCACTCTTTGATTATCCTGAACAATTTATTTGTGAAACTGTTATGTAATGATGACTTGAAGTTTACAAGACGTTACTTTAATTTGCAATATACTAATGTACTTTGAAATCGTTAAGTGTTTAAGAAATATGATTTCAATTAAGCATTTATTAATCATCATTTGAAGCAAATGGTAAAAAAAATATACAATTAATTTATTTATATATATATATATATGACAGCAAAAATGATGGAACACGCCAAAGAAGTTTATGAGAAACAGTAAAGAGCAGAGGCAAACGCTAGGTTAATCCAATAAAGAATAATCCAATAAGGAATCCAATAAAGAGGCTTTAGCAGGCTGTTAGCGAGTAGTTCACTACACTCACGTGAGTCGCCCCCTCTCCACCTTCCAGCTTACCGACATCCTTAATGTAATTTTCCAGTCTGGTGTTCTCCCTGAGGGTCTCAATGGAGGCCAGATGCATGCCGTGGAAGCGACAATACTGCGCTGCCTTGAACCAGTTGGCCTGGAACAACCCATTAGTCCCACAAGTTAACTCCTTTCCCGTCAAGGGTTAGGCATAAATAGACCAATGGGCGCGAAGCTGTCATCCAGCGAGATGTTTTCATCTGAATATTAATTTTTTTGAGTATTATATATATATATATATATATATATATATATATATATATATATATATATATATATATATATATATATATATATATATATATATATATATATATATATATATATATATATCTATATATATATATATATATATATATATATATATATATATATATATATATATATATATATATATATATATATATATATATATATATATATATATATATATATATATATATATATATACATTCCTGTAAGGTCACTGGCAGCGCATTAGTTCACTGTATATAATTGTTATTGGTCAGTTAACACTTAGAAAATTCTGATCATTTTCTTGTTTACGTTATTTTGAATGAAAGGATGACAGCTCTTACATTGGTCCATTTTATACTGAAAAGAGTTTACAGTGAGAGGAAGAGAAAGACATGTAAACTAAGCCATAGGAAGTAAACACATTAATTCCAAGACATAACCTCATGCACCAAAGAAATACTCAAGATTTTTTTATTTTTTTTTCATCTTCTTTTACAGAAGATGAAAATGAGTCAGCACAAAACGCCTTACGCAAAGTTGACTTTTTTTTTTTTTAACGAAGTCAACAAAATCCTTCGAGGATGAATTGGCGTTAAGCCATCGCTGTAACGAGAAGTCGAGAGTGTTGTGGCTTATGGTTACGAGAGAAACTATTGCAATATCATGCTTTGTGGGTTGCAAAACAAAAATAAAGTTGTTGCTATAAGAGATGCTGATGCAGTAACATGCTATGTTGGTTGGAAAGCAAGGTGAGGGGTGAGAGAAAGTTTTGAAAAGTGTTTAACAAAAGCTTTAAATATTAAAATTTATCGTGTTTTGGGGGTTATGATTCTATTGTACTCTGTTGTATGTATTTTATTGTACCCTGTGGCATGTATATATTGTACCCTACGGTATAATTCTATTGTACCCTGTGGTATGATTCTATTGTACTCTGTTGAATCATTCTATTGTTCCCTGTGGCATGAGTATATTGTACCGTGTGGTAGGATTCTATTTTACTCTGTTGCATCATTCTATTGATTCCTGTGGCATGATGTTATTGTTCCCTATGGCATGAGGCTATTTTACCCAGTGGCATGATTATATTGTACCCTGTGGTATGATAATATTGTACCCAATTACATAATTGTATTCTTCCCTGTTGCACAAGTGTACACTAGTCTTTAGCATTATTGTACACTAGCCTCTGATATAACTGTGCCCTAGTATGTGGCATAATTGTACTGTAGTCTGAGGGAATGATTGTACACTAACTACCAGCCTGACTGTTTTCTACCCCGTGGCATAATTCTATTGTGGTATATTTGTACTAAAGAATTATTTTATATTACACTTTGACATGCCAGTACTATAAACTATAATATGATTCTACTTTACCCTGTGGCATAATTGTATACTACCCTATGTCATAAGTGTAAACTACCTTGTGTCAAAATTGCATATCACTCTGAAGTATGATTGTCTAATACTCGGTGACATGATTGTATATTTGTGGCATGATTTGTTAACTACCGTTTTGCATGATTGCTTAGCCCCCTATGGAATGACTGCACACTATTTTGTGGAATGATTGAATAATGTTTTGCGGAATGATTGATGATTTCATTCTGAGGCGTGATTGTATTCAATGGTATTCATTGTGATTGTATTCATCCTTGCCTCAATCGTAAGAGTCCTCAAGGGAGCCGAATACAAGACGGCTTTACAGAGGGTGAGAGAGAGAGAGAGAGAGAGAGAGAGAGAGAGAGAGAGAGAGAGAGAGAGAGAGAGAGAGAGAGAGAGGAGAGAGAGAGAGAGAGAGAGAGAGAGAGAGAGAGAGAGAGAGAGAGAGAGAGAGAAGAGAGAGAGAGAGAGAGAGAGAGAGAGAGAGAGAGAGAGAGAGAGAGAGAGAGAGAGAGAGAGAGAGAGAGAGAGAGAGAGAGAGAGAGAGAGAGAGAGAGAGAGAGAGATAAGAGAGAGAGAGAGAGAGAGAGAGAGTGAACGTCCCTGTAACTCAAACAGTTTATTGTTTATTGTGACTCAGCGTTGAAGTGGTGAGTAAACACACACGTTCTCCAACATGTCTTCGGTAAAGCGAGGTTATCAACAAAATGTTTGAGAACGAGAGTTTTCTATCAGAATAATCCAAGTAAAAGGGTTAAGAAAATAATAATAGCAATAAAAAAAGAAACTTTTCAACAAAAATACGATGACGGTAGCAGAGAATGAGCTTTGACTTCTGTACGAAGCTCGAGAGAGCTGCCGGTGTTGCGTTCACTATCAACACGTAAGGAAAAACATTTTTAGTTTTATCCACCTAATTTGGTTTTCTGTGTGCAAATGGGATCAGACAGACTGATTAGCTAAACTGATTCGTGTGTATGTTGGCGTGCTAAAGTATTCATTTGAGTCAAATCAGTTGAGGAATGCCAAAGTTGGTTTGAAAAGCGCTATGCACATTATAAAACTAAAACAAGAATGTATACGAGTCCAAAATGGGTGATAAGGAGACAGGCAGAGAGTTAAGAGAGAATACGTCATAATGATCCGACATGCTAGAAAAATGAGATGAGATTGGAGACTGAATTGGTAGAGGGGAGGAGAGTACAGGAGCCCGATCAGAGCCTCACTGATATGAGTCATGCCACGTACTAAGACAGCTTCACCATTATCATCTTCATCCAGGAAACAGCCAAGAAGTAGGCATGCAAACTGCTGTTAAAGAGGCATGCAAAAGGAAGATGTTAATAAACACAAGACGCTGTAGAACTCCACGAGGAACTCCAAGGAGTTCCTCAGTCTGAAGAGAGGAAGTGAAATGGTCACTTAAATACAAAAATGTCAAATTTCTTGGCCGACTGTTCCTCATTGAACCGAACGAATTACGCCAGGAAGCGACTCTTCAGGCACTCCAAGCGGTGAGTAATAATCATCCACAGAAGGCATCCAGCCTGAATGATCATTTAACACAAAGACAATCTAAGCAGGTGAGAGTGATCCATAAATCTCAGAAGAAACCACTCGGATCCCACCCTCTGGAAGAGTGGATAGCCATCGAAAGCCTTCACCAACCGGAGAACCAAACTGAAAGTCATGATCTCAAGGCTCATGACTTTATTATCTCAGTTTAGAACTGAGATAATAAATTATCATCGTAGAATGATGCAGCATCTCTGGCAATTACATATCTTCTGGAGAAGACGTTTTACTGAGACCACAACAATCTTCCTGAGAGTACGACAGGCTGATAGTACTGGAGAAAATAGACTTGAGGATGGAGGTTCAGAGTCCTGAATAATCTGATCCTTTGAACTTTAAAGGAATTTAAGGTGTTTTGGGGGAAAATTACAGGAGGTGGATCCTGGGGAATATGAAGGAGTTTGGAAAGCAAGAAATTGTGAAGGATTTAGGTGTTCTGGGGGAGGGTTGGGGGTTGAGGTGAAGTATCCTGTTGACTATGACAGCTTAGAGTGAGGGGGTGAAAGTGGTTTCATAATTCGCTGTAGACTATGTGTCAGCGATGAGTGTTGAGGGGCAGGAATTGGTAAGGTTGAGAAGGAGATTGTGAGTTTCTGGTGTATGAGCTGTGAGTTTCTGTTGAAGTAGCTCTGAATAGAAGAATGTGAGGTACGAATTATAAGATTGGGGTTAGGAAGAGTTTGTGCGGAAATGGATAGTGAAGAGAAGCAGTGAAGTGGAGTCTGTGAGTTAAAGCTGTGAAGCGGGGTTTGTTAGTTGAAGCTGTGAAGCGGGATTTGTGAGTTGAAGCTGTGAAGCGGGATTTGTGAGTTGAAGCTGTGGAACGGGGTTTGTGAGTTGAGAGTAAGGGGATGTAAGGTGGAGTTTGGTCTGGGAAGTGAAAGCTGTGATATGAGGTGACGTTTTATGAGGCAGGATTGTGAGGGGAAGGGCTGCGAGAGAATATAAAGAAGGCATTAAGAAGAGGGGAAACAGCAGGGAGAATGAGGTTAAGGTTAGGGGTTATGAGGTAGGCATTAAAGGTGGTAGTTATGAGGAAGAGGATAGGGTCAAGGTTGGGAGTTATGAGGAGGAGAATAGGTTCAAGGGTGGGAATTATGAGGTAGATGTTAAGGAAAGGGGTCACAATCCCCACCATTGAGTTAGAGTTCAATGGTGGGGAATTATAAGGCCGAGGTTAAGGGAGGTGGTTATGGGGTAGAGGTTTGTGAGGTAGGGATCAAGGCGGAGTAGACTCTAACCTGCATCCTGTATGTGCTGCTCCAGGAACCTGTTCTGTCTCTCCGTCTCGACCCCCGCCAGTTGCATCCCGTGGAAACGACAGTACTGCGCTGCCTTGAACCAGTTCGCCTGCAATGACCCCGAGTTAGTAAGCCCAGCGGTCCTTCCGGCAAGTGGTGGTGGTGGTGCTAGTGACGGCTGTGATGGTGGTAGTGACGACTGTGATGGTGGTAGTGACGGCTGTGATGGTGGTAGTGACGACTGTGATGGTGGTAGTGACGGCTGTGATGGTGGTAGTGACGGCTGTGATGGTGGTAGTGACGGCTGTGATGGTGGTAGTGACGACTGTGATGGTGGTAGTGACGGCTGTGATGGTGGTTGTGACGGTTGTGATGGTGGTAGTGACGGCTGTGATGGTGGTAGTGACGGCTGTGATGGTGGTAGTGACGGCTGTGATGGTGGTAGTGACGGTTGTGATGGTGGTAGTGACGGCTGTGATGGTGGTAGTGACGGTTGTGATGGTGGTAGTGACGGCTGTGATGGTGGTAGTGACGACTGTGATGGTGGTAGTGACGACTGTGATGGTAACGTAGTTGATGATGGTGATGGTGTTGCGTTCCTAACCGTGCTTTCTTATTAATAGTGAGCACAGAGACGAACGGTCTGCCTTTTGTATAA